AGAGCGCCCATCAATCAGGGAAAAATAAGCCTATCTCTTATATATTTATAGAATGGGCAATGAAGGATGATATGTTTCTGAGTTTCTACTTCTCCCATTTCACAAGGACAAAGCCTTTCAACTATTGGGCGATTTTTATATTTGCCCTCCAATACAGCAGAGGGTAGTGCTTGGCACTTTGCCAGTGTAAAAGCTTTTCTGTGGCTCAGTGTTTCTAATGGCAAGAGGTATCCCACAGGAGCCACTAAATATTTGAGCCACTCCAAGGTTAAAAAACCTGATACCTTCCCAATATCTTCAGATATTCTAAGTCAAAGATTCTTTGTTTAATGGCTAGCTTAGCCCTTTCATGATCCATCCCTAGGACTTCAGGAGGGGAGAAGTCCAAGAGGTTTAGTTGCGGTCTGTTTTCCTTGATCCATGAAGATTGATAGGTGTCCTGGAGAATGGCGGGGGCTGGAATCATCTAGGATTATAGGCTAATTTCAGTCATAGATTCAGGGAGGTGAGATACAGTCTGACCTTCAGTTTAATCATGCCCACTTCCAGCCAAAAGGTAGCATTTGGGACGCATCCAGAGTCCACTGGAGTTGGGTGGCCAATAAATTTAAATAAATAAATAATAAAATAAGGAGAGGTAGGGCTTTACATCATATGCTTAACTAATTAGAAGGTCCTTGTGCTGTGCATAATATTATATCTCCTTCCCTCTAAAATCAACTGTGTGGGGGGAAATTATGTTACTAGCAATAGTGTTTGTCTTCTGCTGTTCCAACCTTAAGGAAAATACCTATTTATAGTCACCTGGGGAAGCAGCCACTGAGAGTAATGACAGACATTATGTAAAGAGAAACAACTGTGGGCTCTTGACCTGTTGGCTTCTTTCTAACACCCAGGACATTTTCAGAGCAGTTGTTGTACTGTATAGCCTTGCCAAGCTGAACACTGAGCCCCACCAGGCCTACCCTGCCTGCCTTTGCCCTCTTGCAAGTTATAAATGTATGGCTATACTCTTAAATTTTATATTTCTAAAGTTCAGCATTCATGTTTACTCATTTGTAGAGCCTTCTCCATCTTGATGTGGGACTTCAGCTTCCAGAATTCCTAGTCAATATACCCATTGGTTGTTTAGGTAGTTATTTATTAATTAGGTAGTTAATAGTATTAAGTGGTGAAGTCTATTTTATAGCTTCATATTCAGGTTATTTTTTTTCTTTTGTGGAAATTTATTTTTAGAGTTGCATAAGCATTCAGTTCAGAGAACTGAATTTTTGTGACATTACAGGCTGTTCCTCATAATCAAGTTAAAATTTTGTCAACCAGTCCTTTAGCCAGCAGAATGCTATACAGTACCAGCACAAAATGTCCTGCCCTCACTGGTGAGCCTTATCTTGCCATATGCACAATGCCACCAAATATTTCTGTCCTTATATTATAGGGCTCATTAAGGATAGAGACTGATGGATTCCCCCAACTTCATCCCTTCCACCAAATGTCATTAAGAGCTAGAAACATCCATTGATCATTCTCCCTAATGTGGGAGGGGCTGGGAGACAAGCTAAGTTTTGACAGATGGCTAGATTGGCAGGTTTAGTCATCTGTCAAAACTTACACTGGTCTGGCACAAACGTTCAGCACAAGTGCATTGAAAAGGAGCCTGAATATCAGCTCATCTTTTTGGATGATGATGATGATGATCTACTTAGGCTCCTCCTGACTCCAATTGATTCTGGCTGGCTCATAGCATAAAAACAAAACAACATTATAAAATCAAAAAGAACATATAACACTAATAAGATAGCAAATCCAGTCAACAACACAAACATGTCAAACATCTACAAGGGGCTCCAACTACCCTAGCCTGGGGTGGTTGGAGTCTGGGAGCCTCCCACCCAATGCCTGGAGAAGAGCCAGGTCTTTAAGGCCCTCCAAAACACCATCAGGGTGGGAACCCAGATCTCAGGGGGAACCTCATTCCATAGGGCAGGCACTGCAAAGAGAAGGCGTGCTCCCAGGGTCTGGATGGATGGCACTGCTTAATCAAAGGAACCTGGAGTACTCCAACCCTATTGAATCCACCTGATTAGGTGATCACCACAGGAGATAGGCAGTCCCTCAAGTAACCAGGCCCTATGCCATGTAGGGCTTTATAGGTCACAACCAGCACCTTGAATCATACCCGGAAGCAAACTGGTAACCAGTGCAACTTGTGAAGAGAGGTGTCACATGGGCATTCCAAGTTA